GTCCCCGCGTGCATGCGCACCAGCACGCCTAGTGGCAAGAGGCATACATAGGCGCGCGCAGCAGCATGCGTAGGCGCGCAACAGGCGCATGCGGGGCATGCAGCAGCAGCATGTGTACTGCCAACTACTCCTGTACTTGTTGGTGATACACGGTCTCTTCAATTGCTAAACCGCTTTATTTGGCTTGGTGCTGCATGTCAAAAGTGCGGTGACTTCACTACGCCTTCTAGTTGAGCGTGCCCATTCCATCCCCGAGGCAGGGCAACATGAGTAGGTGCGTAGGCGCGCAACAAGCGCATGCGGGGCATGCAGCAGCAGCAAGTGTACCACCAACTACTCCTATAGTTGTTGGAGATACACGGTCTCTTTAATTGCTAAGCCGCTTGATTTGGCTGGGTGCTGCACGTCAAAAGTGCGGTGACTTCACTACGCCTTCCCGTGTAGCATGCCCATTCCATCCCCGAGGCAGGGCAGCAGCAACAGGCATATGCGGGCGCGTGCAGCAGGCAGGGAAGGCAGCAGCAACATGGCATGCGCAGCAGACAGGACAAGCGTGGGCGTCCGGACAGGGCTAGCGTCCGGGCGTCCGGGCGCTAGCCACGGCCTTTACTGTATTTTCCTTACAATGTTGCTTTATTGCTTTTCTGTCACCACTTTGGCAATATCAGCAGAGCATATACATGTTAATTCTTGTCGATCACTGCCATAGATAGGTTCTTCCGTGACGGCCGATTCCATCAGGAAAGTACCAAAAAAACATCAAGAATGGTTTTTCCTCCTTGACGCGAAACCGTGAGGGACTATTTTGTAACGGTTATCACCATCGGGGAAGGTTTCCTTGTCGGTTGTTACATCCGTTAGGCAAGGTCAATCTTTCCCACAAGTCATCACCGTTAGTGAACGATATATCACATGAAGAATATAAAAACACTAGCTACAACCTCTCCAAAACAAATACAGACCCCTAACACAGCTGCAAGTCAAATCTCATGAGACGCAATAGAAAAAAAACATGATCCATCTTGAAATTACCATATCAATTTTGTAGTCTCTATAATCATCTCCGGCAATAGTGGCCTCCTTTTCTTCCCTCTCATGCTCACTTGCCGTCGAAAAGTTGTAGAGCTCGAAAAGTTATGCAACTTTGTAGTTGATAAATTTTTTCATTTGATATCATATATGTAAGAAAAATTATGTTTGAACTCCTCATATTGGAATTTCAATCAAATGACCTCGGATGTAGAAACGACCAAGACCAAAGTTGTAGATCTTGAAAAGTTGTATAACTTTGTTGTTGACAACATTTTTATTTGAACGCTCTGTAGTGTTTTTTTTAATAGTGTAGTCTGTATGAATTTCTTCTCTTCTCTATCTCTACACTAAAAAATACTTAAAGTCATCGTCAGCGCCTAATAATCGCCCCGCTAGTAGTAATCGCCTCTCTTCTCTACGCGGCCACGTCCCGCCCCTCAGCTCAGGTACGTCTACGGAGTCTGATGAAGATGGGGACGGTTCGGCTCCATTCAATGGTTCATCGATCTGATCCACAGAATCGATCCTAACGGGCCCCTTTTACTACCCATGAAGCCTGCTCGGTCCAATGGCTCAGAGACACTCGAACCTTAGGGTCGACTGGATGGATCCACCCATCGGCTTCCTTCTATATGGCGGCGCCCTCTGATCCGTCGCGGCTTCCTTCTATTTGGCGCGCCCTCTGATCAGTTGCATGATTGTGGTGGACTCGCGGAGCTCTAAACGACTGGATGTAAGGCCGCGCGCACGGCGACCTACGATCCCCGCCGTGTTGCGCACGCACCGCAGCTGCATGTATGACCGAGCGCACGGCGTCCTCGTCAGGCAAGATGATCGGAGAATGAAGGAAGCAAGGGGAGTGTAGTGATGCGAGGGAGGACGGCCACCGGCTGGTCGACTAGTAGGTGACGACAGAGGGGCTCCTCTGAATATGGGCGACGGCGACGGCACGCGTGCTTCTCGTCCATGTCCGTCGCTCGGTGCACTGACGGCGAGGTCGCTCGGAGCTTTGTGTTGCTGTCGTTGAGGCAGTTCACTGCAGGAGACAGGTCACGATTCTGATGCTCCGATCCTTTTGCTCCTTTGGCAATTGCAGGACAAATTGCAGTTGCATCTGCAGGGAAGGTGGAGGGTGCGTGCTCTCTGCCAGTCTTGCCCAATGCCCACGTTCCAAACCAACGCAACGCAGTCACCCCCCGCCAGCTGAGAAGATGCGCCGCCCGTGCTCGCTCACTCAGCTTCAGCTCCTCCACGCCTCCGGCGACCGACGGCCGCCGCCGGTGAACCCCAGCGCCGTCATATTTTTTATAAACTAGATCTACATGACATACACGTGACAAAGATCATGAAACATGCTTTATATTTTCTATGTAATTATATTTGTAGATTCCTTAATACGTTCGTGTAATCTGCAAGCCACGTGCGTGGTCATATACGTAGATAAAAATTTGTAAAACCCATGCAACGCACGTGTAGTGCTCCAAAAAAAATGTGAACGTTGTGATCCTAAGATCAAATTAAAAAATCCCGGTAATATTTATGACGTGTTCAGGTCCACCTATTTAGCATCAGTGTTGAAATTGATATGACAGCTAAATGCCTCTTCATCATGGATGCTGGTTGTTATTATTGGATACACTGACAGATGGGTAGGCACAGACTGATCCATTCATTGATTACGCACATACACGCATGCAATTTATATATAGTATCTATCAGTCAGCATGGACATCCAACGACGCTATTATTTATTTATACTAGTAAATATGCTCGTACATTGCTACGGGTAAATAATACATTTTAAAATTCATATTGTTTTTATCTCTCTCCTTTATTGTTTTTGACTAAGTAGTTGGATTTTTCGCTTGATTGGAAACTAATTTTTTTTGATTAAATATGTAGTGGCATTTGTGTAGAATAGGATATCATTCAACAATAAATACATGATACAATTGTTAAAATTTAGTAATTCATTTGTCAATATAATGTTTGAACTATATTTGAATATGATTTCTAACGGACTTCCTTTTCCTTATGTTGTTCATTCTGTCATAAAAGCATAATATCCATTAGTAGCGCAAGAATGAGCCAAGTCCAACAGTTTTAGGCGGAGTCTTGGGGAATCTTGAACCTTTTGCTGATCATTGTCTCCCTTTAATGAACAACCACTTAGATCAAATTTGACAGTTTGGAAGGGAGCATATCAGTGAAATGCTCATAATTATATCATCTCTGCCTTTTAGTTGCATACCCTCTCGTGCAGGGCAGACCTTGGACAAAAATTGAGGGAAGGAACACATCAACATGAGAAACTAACATATATGTTTCTTTACTCAGCAGGGGCCTTATAAATTATTTGTACAGGGGCACATATGGTGGAAAATTGCAAATCAGCTATCCAAAATTGAGTACACCTAGGTCCGTCCCTGCTCTCTCGGTTGTAAGTAGTCCTTGGGGCACTCCACTGGCTTTCACATTCTTCCCCTTGCCATATGTGAGCGACAAAATCAAAATTACTCTAGTCTCTCTTCCCACCGACTTTGCCTGACCATCTTCGTTGCAATGGTTAAACATATCAAAATCAAGATTGCTAGCTTTTGACACATGCATCTCGGAGATGAAATGACCCAAAGCATTTACGATGCATAAAAGCTGTCCATAAGAAATAAGCAGGGAGTAATTTCTGGGAGCAAGTAGAAAATTCAGGATTAGCAAATAAGTACACTTTGTTTGTTATGAATCTGCTCCTCCATGTCATTGTTCCCCTCACCCATCATAATCAGATCCTCTTTATCAACAGCTCCATGTACCTGCACAACAATCACCAGTCTGAGCTTCAAATACAAAATGTGATTTGGAAATGGAAAGCAAAAGGTCATTCACATAAAAAAAGAGACACAAGGATCTCTACAAATTAGACCGAACATGGCTGACACTATACTCAAGTAAGCTCACACATTCCCTCACCAATCCCCCAAATTTCAGTGCTAAATATGCTGGAAAAAATGTCGCACTTTGCTATAGTGTCTGATATGTGGAACTGAAAGAAGCTTATTTATATGCAAAAGAATCTCTACAGCAAACTGAAATAAATCAATATATCACTGCAGTTACAATGTGATTTCTAACCAAGCATAAACCTCAATTATTTTGACAGCTCTGAATTATAACTACAATCAGAATTTATATGAACAAAATGGAAACTTGAAGATACTGCCCTAACTTGAAATGAATACGCTTGATGAAGTGACGCAAATAAGTAATCTGAAGCAAGACTGTCTAGGCAAGTCCAGGTCAGCAAAGACTCCAAACATGCCCTGTATCACCAACCATGTAAACACGTCAACCCCGCCTTTCTTCTGTCCTCACCATTTGAAAAATTATGCACCTCATGTGAATTAAGAATTTCCTACTGTTTACAACAGTGTGCAGGGGAAAGGATATTTATGCTAGTGTCTTGTATATGGTGGAAGATTCTCAGACAACAAACTGCATCCTGATAAAAAATAGAACAAAAGTACACAACACTTTCTAATATGCCATTTGTAGACCAATCTAATGCTAATTAGAAAACAGTACTCAAGTTTGTACTAAATAGGTACTTTGCAAATTTGTGAATACTAACTGAGGTACTGATGCACGGGCTCTGGAGCTTTGGTCTTGAGCAATAACCACTTTTGAGAGTGCTCCAATGCAAGCTTCTGAGACTTCTCTTCCTTGAGCAATCTGTTTCCAATCTTGAAAGGGGAACCAACTTTGTTGTCCCAAATAGTCAATCCTAGTCAGATAAAGGAGCCAACAACTACCCTAGTCCGGGGAGCGTGCACCATCCGCATCTGATTCACAGACTGAGTCAAAATTTGCAAGCAATTTTATTGAATTAAAGAGCTACTTTGCTAGCTGTCTGGGCTACTGATTGATAATTCATTGTTGGTATATCTCAACACGGATATCCACATACTCATCGATCATCTCGGCCTCCCCATTGCCCTCTTATCTGAAATGTCATTCTCCTGAAATAGACAACAAAAAAAAGGATCAATATTAGACCAAGGTTTTAAATATCCGGCTATAGCCTCCGCTATCTCCAGCTATAGCTGTTTGAGAATGATTTAGCTAAGTTTTTTCATGTAAAAGTTAGCCCTTAGCTGCCGCTATAGCCCGCTATAGCCTGTTTTCGGATATAGAAAGCTAAATGGCTTAGCCGGCTATTTAAAACCTTGTATTAGACACGTTCCAAACATCAGCTTGCCGCGGCACACCCGCCACCCGTCCGGACACCGCAAAGATGCAGGACAGCATATACTTGTCATAAACCCAGGACATTAAAGATCTCCACACAACAGATTTATCCATGCTGAGCCTAATTGCAACATAATCTTGTGGGAACGACCAGGTTAGCCAATCTATGCTAACAGTATTGCATCCCAGGTAGAAAAAAATCAGAGAATCAGAGAAAACAAATAGCCACAGACCTAGCTTGCCTAACAGTAGCAAATAGCAGATCCGACCAGTTCTAATCAGAACCTCGAGATCGCATTCGAGATCGCGTTTGGAATCCCTGTTGTCAATTCCAATCCGGCAAGACCAAGATTCAAAACTGGCATTGTCGGGCTGGGGATACAGATACTTCACTGTCAACAAAGACTATATTGGTGTTTTGACAAGAAGAAGAATCGTGGGCTACAATATATATAAGAGGGAAAAAGGGGCAAATGGTAGAAACCTGAATTCGAACACATCATGGACATCTGTGACCCAAGTCGATTCCGTTCTGCGTTCAATTCAATTTTCCTGACCAACACAGAGCAACGGAAGCATAGGAGCTGAAGTCTTGATTCGATTCCAATTCCAGACCAATTCCGATCCGAATCCGACTCGCTCGGCCAAAATCGCGCTTTGTGCCGAATGCGGCGGGCTAGGCGGGCAGCTGCGCAAGAGCCGCCTGCGCATCGGCGTCGATGCCGGAGTCGGACGCGGCTCGCTGCACAGAGCGCTGCGACAGCGGAGGAGGGCGCTCAGCGAGCACCGCGCTCTGCGGCCGGCATTCGAGACGTCGGCGGAGCTGCAGTGGCTGTGCGGCTTCCCAGCACGGAAGAGGCCGGAGATCGAACGCGCCGGATGGAGCAGGGCGAGGTGGATGCGGTGGCGCTCTCGGTTTGAGCGGCGAAGGTGGTAGGGCGGTAGAACGCGGCGGTGGCAGAGCTTCTGCTCGGCCATCCATGGCAGCGGCGTGCGTGACGGCAGCAAGCGGCGGTGGCTTTTTTTGCTTTTTATCGAGAGGGAGACGGGATGGGAACAGAAATGACAGAGCGCAGTGGGAGCGAGCATCATCGTCGTCCATGCGAGGGAGAGGCGAGCTACGCCTTATATTGCAAAAAAAAAAAAAAAAAAAAAAGGGAGGGCCGTGCGGGGAGAGGGCGAGTGGGGGCGGAGCAAGTGCCCTGCGCGGTTGGGCTAAAATACAGCGAGTGGGACAGTCGGGCTAGTAGAATGGGCCAGACGAAAAACAGCCCAGATCAAAATAGAGGCTTAAATTTTGCCTTTCTATTATTAGGTATAAATATATTTATACCTAATAATATATTTACGATGCAGCAGCACTCCTTCGGCTGCAGAATCAGGTTATCCTTGCAGTAATGGTCGAAGTTCCAACTGCCCGTTGAGGCGGCCTTGGCTCTGCATGATTCTTGGCACAAATACGGTTTGGCGTCGCAGTCATAATCCACGACGGTGCACTCCTCTCTACCCCACTCTGCACACGTACACATGCAGTGCAATCAACCAGAACAGATCAGATTTGGCTGCAGAAATCAGGGCAGCACAGCAGTATGTACTTGTAGAGGAGCTAGCTAGATATACATGCATGATTATATTGCTTGCTTGTACCTGCAGAGGTGGAGGACAGGAGAGAGGACACGACCAGGAGAGCGACCAACATAGCCGTGGAGTGCACAGTGCTGCTTCTTGAGTCGTTGAGTGCCATAGCAAATATGTAGTAGTACTCTGAGTACGCTCCGTCCCCGATGCAAGTAGGTTATATGTCGCTGGTGCATATATATAGGCAAATAGAAGCAGGACCGAAGCGATCATCAGTAGTGCAGTTCATTAATTACATCTCTCATCTAGCTTATATCTATCTATCTATCTATCTATCTATCTATCTAATCCAAAATAAAAGGTATCATAAAAAATTTAGGACATATTATTGGGTAATTCAAAAGACACATGTAACCCTGCATTAACATATTGTTTATCATATTTATGTTGATGATAGATATTAATGGTAGGTATGTTTATGAATGTTTCCTTTTCAAACGGAATTGTAAAGTTACAATGATTGAATTTGTTAGAATTTTGGGATAAATTATGAGTGCTTGGGTAATTTATATTTTGGAGGGAGTATCTATCTAATCTACCTAGCGGCGGGTCATCTCAGGAGGTGTCGTGTATTTTTCGGGCGAAGAACGAGGGTGAAATCGGCGTCGCTGACCCCCTGGTCAGCATCGCTGTTTATACCCCCTCGGTCGCGTGTCTTGGCACTATGAGGCCTGTGGAATTTGACACTGGCTTGTGTTTGACCGAATTAGCGTTAATAATTCCTTTTAACAGAGATCACTTCCAAGAGGCGGGTGAGCCACCCACATTTAATTAGAATGCTGATTTGCCCACACTGTAGACTCTAAGTGCAGTAGTAGTGTAAGTTATTGCGGTTCAAAACAGAATTTAACCATGCTTAACCCAAAAAACACCATTTACCTGCAGGTATGTGTTATTCCTTAGTAAAGTAGATCCATCAGTTTCTTAAAAAAGGTTCAAAGACGTCGATATAACGAGGCACCACCTGCTTATTACATATTAGTACTAAAAGGCACGGTACATACATACAATTAATTAACACACGTGATCGACGTACGTGGTACAACTAAAGGTCGAAGGCTAGCATGGCAACTTGATCATTAGCTAGGTTCAAATTGCATGCTGTGTGTGCGGGTTTATTCGTAGCTACTTTATTTATGTTTTTTTTTTGAGAAATAGCTACTTTATATTCATGTAGTACCCATAGACGCAGTTCCTTGGTATCGTCGCCGATCACGAGCCCCGGCCGTCATATATATGATGCAACTCCTCCGGCCTGCGTCGCCACTTGCTCGAAACTTTCTCAAATTTTTACCACAGCCTCCGCGTGCGATGACAAGACACGTCGTCAAGTTTCGTCATTTTCGGACTCCGTTTCGATTTTATAAAATTTAAAAACACTTTTCACGCGCGTGGCTCGGCGTGTTCCGACACCAACACGGTCGAAATTTCACGCGAGGCCCCGCACACGGCCTCAACATGCTCCAAACATCATGAATATCATTTTCTGAATCGCCGGATTCCATTATTTCATGTACCTGCAGTTCAAATCTGGAGCTGCCGGAAAAAATCAAAGAAACAGAAAAAATCAATGGAATATAGCAAAATAAATCAAAATGACCCCAAACTTGGAATATATCATGTACTTACTGTAGCAAGGCAACACAAAAAAACTGGGATCGAAAATCGAAAAAAAAATTAATTCTTTGCCGACTGCCATCAGTGGCAGTTGGCAAAGAGCCTTTGCCGACTGCCAGGGAGGATGGCAGTCGGCAAAGAATTTCTGAGAAAAAAATCAAAAATAACCTTTGCCGACTGCCAGGGAGCAGAGCAGTCGGCAAAGTATTTTTAAAAAAAATTAAAAAAATAATTTTTTGAAAAAAAAAAAATAGACCTTTGCCGACTGCGTCACATGCTGGCAGTCGGCAAAGGAAAAAAAAAAAAAAAAAACGTCGCCTCTTATCCGCTCGCCCGCCTCCCTCCCCAAAATCCGCCCCGCCGCCACCCACCAGCCCTTTGCCGTCACGCCACATCACCCGGCCACGGCCATGGCCATCCCCCCGCCCCCCCCCGCGCCCTCCTCCTCTCTCTCCCGGCGTGGATCCCCCTCCTCCTCCTCCCCGGCCACGCCTTCCTCCCCATGGCTGCCCCTCCCCTGCCCGCGCCCAGCATTAGTCCCTCCCGTGGTGGCTGGCGCCTCCCATGTGCCTGACCCTCCCCGTGTGTGCCCCCATGTTGTGGTCCGTCCCCCATGTTGGTCCCTCCCGTGGTGGCGCCCTCCCCCATGTGTGCTGCCCTGGCTGGTGGTCCCTCCCACATGGTTGGTCCCTCCCGGTGGCCCTCGGCGCCCCCATGTTGGTCCCTCCCGGTGGCGCGGGGCCCTCCCAGCATGTGCCCTCCCTCCCGGGCGCGCCCCTTGCTGGTCCCTCCCGTGGCTCGCGTCCCCCTGGCTGGTTCCCGCTGCTGGGCCCCTCCGGCGCGCCGGCCGCCCTTGCCAGCCCCTCACCGTGCTTGCCGCCCGATCGACCCGGCGCCCGGCCTTGCCCGCGCGTGCAGCTCCGGCGTCGGCCCCGCAGCGGCCGCGGCCTCGCCCCGACCCGCCCCGGCGCCGTCGCTGCCCCGCCCCGATCCGGCGTGCCCCGCTCCGTCCGCCGTCCGCCGTCCGCGCGCCGTCCGCCGTCCGCGCGCCGTTCGCCGCCCTGCGTCGCCGTCCTCGCCGCGCCGTCCTCGCCTCGCCGTCCTCGCCTCGCCGCGCCGTCCTCGCCTCGCCGCGCCGTCCCCGCCTCGCCGTCCTCGCGCGCGCCTCTGCTCCACGCGCCGGTGACGCCGTCCGTGACGACGAGGTAGTAGTACTACTAGTAGTAGTAGTTTACTTTGTTAATACCTGCTTATATTCTTCTGCATGGATTGGAAATACATTTGTGGTTGTCGGCCATCGTGCGTGACATGTATATGTGTTTGTCGGCCATCGTGCCGTCTTTTTTCTTGCGGAGTTTGGTAACCTTCCCGTCTGGAGGAGAGTTTGCCAAAATTTTCGTTCTCACTAATTGTTTTTCTTTTTCAGAGGGCTCCCATTGGAGGCTAGCGGAAAAGCACGACTTCAAGACCGCCCGCTTAGCCTTTCTTCACCGGCACCTGCGGTATGACCCCTCTTTCCGCCACATGTAGTCATAGGTCGCGTTACCCGGTTAGGCGTCTCCGTCAAAGCGGATACGGTTGGAAGTATCGTTCTTCGATATGTATAACCGTATCCGTTTGGATTGTCACGTTATTTGGACAGCCGAGGATGCGCAGACGAGGTTAGCTCCCATATTCTGCTCCCATCCGAGTCGGAGTTGGCGGCAGACCTCCCGTTGTTCTCTGGATACACACTCTCCCGCGGGGCGTGTATCGGGAGAACAGCTGGGAAAATCTGCTGAAATCCGTCTCTCGGACGAGGAGCGAGCATGGAAGCTAACTCGTCACAAGATGCTCGGGTGGGATTAGGACCTATCCTTCACCTATTAGATGGTAGGAGCGCGTTGTAGATGCACTTGCTGGTTTTATCACATGTTAACATTGCCGCATGATGAGCATGGGTGACCGTGAGTGGATGTACTCGGGCCGCAAGTAAGAGCCACGAATGGATCAGGGGACGGACCGAGTTCTGGAGCATGCATTTGGCCTAGGCGCTAAAGGGTCAATTCGGATGCCGTGTCCCTGCAGTGAGTGCAGAACAAGAAGAAGAAAGTAAAGGCTCGGTGTTGAGAGATCTGTTCAAGCACGGGTTCGTTCCAAACTATACCGTTGGCGCCACCATGGTGAATACCATCCTATTAGGGACGAGGTGGTGCGACCCGTCCTCGAGGAGTATGATGGCGATGCGGGATGGCGAACATGGTGGCGAACTTCCACGAAGCGCGGTTTGGCGAAGGAATGGATGTGGAGGAAGATCCGGAGCAAACCGCGAAGGCCTTCTACGACATGATGGAGTCAACACGAAGCCCCTTCACGAGAAGACAAAGCTTACGCATGGCTGGATGCCGTCTCACGCGCGATAGGGTTGAAGTCACGGTGGGCATTAGTCGAGGCGGCTTCGATCTCGTGTTGAGCATTGTTGGGGGGCGCTTCCGGCAGATCATGTCCGCCGACGAACACCTATGCTACGAAGCTCCTTCGTGCACTTAAGATGCCGTATGAGGGGATCCATGCTTGTCCGAAGGGGTGCGTCTGTTAGGGGGTGACCTCGAGGAAGCAAAAAACTGTCGAAGGCGCGATGCCTCTAGGTTCGTGTTGGTAGAAGGCTCGATGGCGCATGAAACAGTCTAAGGTCCCCGAGAAGGTCGTCGGCACCTTCCTTTCCTACCGAGGCTGCAACGGCAGATATATACGGAGGAGTCCGCGAAAGCAGATGACGTGGCACAAGAATGGCAAAAGATACCATCTCGACAAGATGGTACACCCGGTGAGACGGTGATGCATGGAAGCACCGATAACATGAATCTGTCAAGGCTATGGAGGCTCGGAATGTACGCGTAGATAGGCCTGGCAATGATGGGTTCAACCCGTTTGGAATGATGGCGGCCCCGTACACTTAACGGCCCGTGTTTGTGATCCCCTCAATCTCCCCGGCGTCATGTTTGAACCTAAGAACGTGCTCTTGACGCCGATAATACCTGGACACCAGGCGACAATATGGGTGTGTTAAATGCACCGGTGTGGGATGAATTGGAACTTGCTTGGGAAGAGGGGTACTCACGCACGACCAAGACTCTGAAGAGGAACTTTAGAATGCATGTGTGGTACCAGTATTCAATGCATGACTTCTGGCGGCGTATGGCTTATTTATGGGTGGTGTGTTCACGGGAAGTTCCTTGCCCGACATGCAAGGCGATGTGATGTTCACTGGTGGCCAAGGGCGGCAAGTTTTCTTCTTTCGACAAGCATCGCCAATTCCTGCCGAGAACCATGAATTCAGGCTAGATGTAAAGCACTTCACGAAAGGCGTTCAAGTCATCGGCCCCATTCGCGGAGTTAAGAGCCCCGCCGCCGTCCTTGCCTGACATATAGGCTCTCGAACCCGAGGAAGCAGTGGGTTTAAGG